AAAAATCCACTGCGCAGGCTCGAAGGGTTAATGACCTTTCCCAAATCTTCACTAGGGAAGATTGGCCATTATCTAATTTTATTTAATTAACATTAAAATTAAATTTGTATAACATAGTTCATAATAATGATGCAAACAATTAATTAATCCAATTTAAAATTTAGCACTTGATGTATTTACTTGCTAAAAACTGTAAACTTCTTTTTAATATTATTAACTGTGATTTGATATATATATAATATATTAATATATATGATATATAATGTATAATATATATAATATATAAAATATATTAATATATAATATCTTAATATTATTAATGTTATTAACTGTGATTTGATTAGTTATTTTCTGCCCCACTGTGGATGTTTTCATGATTAAATATTTTACATCTGGTAAGTCAAGATGTACTATTTTCTCCTCATCAGAATTTTGTGCAGGTTGAAGTCACTTCCATTCTCCCAGAGCAGTAAAACCACTTGTAAATCTAAATCATCAGCTCCCACAGTTCTGTTTTCTTACCTCTTTTCCATTGCAAATAGCTGCAGGAGTTCTTCACCTGAGAAAGATGAATACTTGTCAGTGAATCATGCTCTCTTTTTTTGTTTCAGGGCTCTCTTTGAGTTTCTGGGATGCTTGAATTGAGGGATCCTAACACCTGCATGAAAACTATTGAGGCCTCTGAACCTTTGTCACAGGCTACCCTCCTCCAAGGTACTCACTACTCACAAAAAAGAAATTAAAAAAATCTGAAGAACAGATTCCCCTGTGTCAGAATTTTACTGGTTCTCTGACTAACAGAGATCCCTCCGGGGTGAAAATGTTCTATACTGAGGTATTAAACAAAAAGTGGTAAACTTCCTAGAATTTAGAAATTCTTCTTCTATAAAGTAAGGAGTAATAAAAAGACAGAGTTTACAGCCTAAGAGTGGATATTAGTGACAACTCATGTATTTCATTTTGTTCTCCTCTCTGGTCACTAAAGGTGACAAACATGCTCCTTATATTTCTAGTAGGTTACATTAAAATGTAGTCACAATTTCATAGCAATAAAATCAACATGAGATTCAAGTTATGGAGGAGATGGGGAAACCTTTTTTCCCCATTTTAAAAAATCATGGCACTTCCTATCCTATTCCTATGTCTTTCTGTGGATATGAAGAGTTTCATGAAAGTATAGAGAGACCTTTTGGTCTGTCTTCGTGTTGAATTTGCCTATCACACTAAAAATTCATTGGATCAGAAGCTGCTTGCAATTGTATATTTGTACAGTGTTTATTATAATAGGAATTTACTCCTCAGTTGAGACATAACATACATTGTTGATAACAATAATTTCAAGCTGTGATAAAAGTTATGCCTCCCAACAGTTTCTCTGCTTCCAAAATGATACTAAAATCAAGTAGTAAACTCTGGTCCTCAAAATTTGGCCTTCTGGTTTGCTTAGCCCGTGCTTTGTCATTTTAAAATATTGCCTGTGTTTATCTTAACTTTGGATAACTATGCCAAACTTAGAGAAAATCCCATTGTAATCAATGTGTGTTTCTTTTTTTACTTGTGTACCTCTACTTTCTTCCTATTGTCATTATTTTACAGTGCTTCGAGCACTTGCTCCAGAGAGCTCACAGCCAAAAGAACAAATAACAGCGGAAGGGAGAGAGGAAGGTGCAATTGGAATACATTAAAAATTTCTATGCATCTTTCCCTTGGAGCATATGAAAAGTCTAATCTAGTTTTAGAGGTGCTAAAAATTCCAGGAGTATGTTCTATACTTGTATTATCATCTCAGTCACAAACACAGAATTGGAATTGTCCTTTAATGGTTTTTTTCAGCTATAACGTGGCAAGGAGCCATATTGAGGGTAACTCACAATTATTATGCTATATCATATCTTTCCAGTCCACATTTGAGTAAAGGTTCAAACATACTTCAGGAGGTACATAACTGTGTTAGCATATGTTTGCATTGAAGTGCATTTGCAACACGTCTAGAGTTGCGTAGTCTTGCAAACACACACAAATTCTCTAATAGTCAAATGAATTTGCTTTATCCCATTTTATTCCCAGAAATTAAACCTAAATTAGTAACCTATTTAGACATCATTTATTGCCTGTTTCTCTGATGTGATGACTAATTAAGGCAATAAAATACTTATTTATGCTATTCAGATTATGTATTGGGATTTGGGGAGGGGAGCTAGGTTCAAAATGCAGCCCCAGGGCTGAATATAGAGATAATGCATCATTCTATAACAACTTTCTTCTGTAATTCACAGAACAGTCACTGCACAAACACCATCTTTCACCAGGAAATAAGGTTGTTTCTTAAATCTAATGCACAACAATGCTTCCATGACACGCTTTAAAATCAACTGTGCCTTCTCATGTTATAATTGTAATCTGTAAGTATGTTGGAAAAATAAACAGTTAAGTTCAAGTTTAAAACAAAGCAAAGCAAATCAAAACAAACAAAACCCCTGCCCCATCTGTCAGATTGCATGTATGACATCATCAGATATTCTGCACTTATTTGCAGCCATTCAGACCAACCTACCCCACAGTCTAAACTTTGTGCTCCAGCTCTCTTTACAGGATCAGCGGGCTGGAAAATTACCACATGCTGTCACAGTTAGCTCAGCCAGGTCTTGTTATCATTGTTTCCAATGAATCCATTCATTCCATTATTTTGCATATTGGGCAGACGTTCTACCGCAGAGACTTGAGCCTCAGTAACTTCAAGGGCCAAATGTTAATGGACCCCTATTTTCAGCAGAATAGCAGTGCAATACATGGGAAAAAATACCCAGACAGCTCACTGACACTGGTTTAGGACCTCTAGACTTAGGGTGTACCCTGTAAAGAGCTTTTATGTAAACAAGGCTTCAATAAACAAAGAATATCTTCTCTGTCAATATTCATAACCCATAAATTTTTCCTTCTTTCCCCCTCCTTCACCCCACAGAGCAGCATAGCTCTTCAGATGTAAAGAGGCAAAAAAGTGGTATGTATGATCAATGGCTTTTGCATAGCAAATCCGTAGGATGTGTGCAAGAAACCATACAACCAATCCTGATTTATAAGGGATATTATAGAGCTCATGACTGGAACAAAGCAGTTTTATTTTGAGCTTGCTCTACTATCTGTGTGGCTGATAATGGAGCATGTGATTGTGGAAATTTAAACGTGATTTGTGTATGCGATGGCTGATGTGTCAAAATGAAGGCACAGCATGTCTATCTGTAATTCCTGGGCATGGAATTTAAGTAAAAGGATAGCAGTAATGACAAATTTTATTTTCCTCTTAGGAAACCAAAAAGCTAGGCAACGCTCAGGAAACACATAGTAAATTTTGAGCATTCAGAAGAAAACATATATCAGCATAAAGAAAAATGTGTTCAAGTTACATTGTTGCCTCCAAATCTTGATGGTGTTTTTATTTTTTGGTTGGTTTTGCTTTTAGGTCAAATGTTATTCTCAGTGGTTTCCCATCCACATCCTTGACTTTAATGAGCTCACTAGAACTTGGTTCTAATATGAAAGAGCTCTTGGAACAGGCTTCCCAGGGGAATGGTCGTGGCACCAAGGCTGTCTGAGTTCAAGAAGTGTCTGGACAACACTCTCAGGAACATGGTGTGATTCTTGGGGCTGGGCTGTGCAGGGCCAAGAGTTGCACTTTGATAATTCCAACTCAGGATATTCTATGACACTACGATTACTTTTGGATAGCTCCACTGGCTCCAGTTCTTTCACCCAGCTTTACCTGATCATGGATGGGGATACCTGATTGTCCATGGGGATGGAAATTGGTAGTGCCTCCAAAGGGGAGGCATCCCTGCCATTGCCAGCTATGACATCTCAGGGGCCCCACTCTTGTTAGAAAGAGATTCCTCCTTCATATTCCTTGATTTGAACAGAGTAAAGTGAATAAGATTAAAAATGTTCCATGAGAACAAGTTGCAAAATCCTTCATTCCAAGAAGGAGTCAGTTTAAAAACTGGTTAAAAATTAATCCAAAAAGAGAGAGAGAGAGTGTACCTCTGTATACCTGGGGCTTCGCTGCCAGATCTGAATAAACTCTCCTGTTCCTGATACCAGGCTGGCACTCAGGAGGGAAAGGGTCTGACCTTGGCATCTGATGCCGTCTGCCTTTATTTCAGGTACTAAGTATTCTCTTCCTATTATTTTCACTGCCACTAGACAACAAAGGTCTTGATAACATGACCTGGCTGCTCTCACTGTGACAGCATTTGGCAATTAGCTGAATCCACTGGCATTTTGAAAATTGAAACACAAGTCTCAGCTTTTTTAACTTGTCTGTAATTAGAATAGCTGTTATTTCAGTTAATTTTGTGGTATTGATCGTGTGAAGCTCTCCAAGGAGCCTCACAAAAGTCAACAGCACAATATATCTTGTTTTCTGCAAACATTTTGAGAATATTAGGCCATGATCCTGAATGCATGAGAAGAATTCATGATATCTCTCTAAAGCCTGGTTAAAATATATTCCAGGTGGTAATAAGATATGTTAAAATCCTTGCACCATCCAAAAGCCAGATTAGCCCCTTTATATTTTATGTAATATGTTCTGTTTCGACTAGGATTATTTCTGCGTCTGGCAGCTAATTTTAAATAGTTCCTCTTTTCAGATAACATTAAGAGGCAACTGAAATAAATTAATTTTCCATAAATGTGTGTCAAGGCTAGATTTCCTAAGCCAAGACCTCCAAGCAATCATCATAAAAATTTTGTAAACCATAGATAATATCTTGGAATAAAGAGAATTTTTCAGAGTATGAAATGTTTCATTAAGATAAACATTAGAACTTAGTGTTGCCACTTTGAATACAATATTTTCAAAAAAATCTTCCGGAGTTTTAAGCTAAGCATAAAAAAGGAGGAAAAAAAAAGAGATTGACGGGATGAGAGAACACAAGAAATAAATAGCACTTTTACAAATTCAATTAGTTCAAGCGATCTGAAATGTGATATTTTGTCCCTAATTCTTCAAGATTAGTGTACATGCATGTTTTTACCAATGTACTTAGGAGATATAGGATCTGGAAGAAGTGAAACAGTAATGAATTAATAGTAATGGGCCTTGCTTTATGTGGTCTTTTAAAACTGTATTACAAAATACACAAATTGCATTATTCAATGCTCCATTTTCTTACCGAGCTTAAAGTGTTAAAATTAACCACAGGCTTCAAGGAAACTTCCAGACTTGAAGTATAAGCACAAAAAGTGACTTTCATTATTTGCCTCAAGAATGGAGGCATTTATCTGAAATTCTGGGGAGATCTTGTTTGCATTCTCTGGTAGGACTAGATGCACCATAGCCCAGAAAGTTTAAAAACAAAAAACCAAAAGCAATAACAACAACAACAAAATAACTTATGTGTTTGTTTTGACAGTCATCTTCTCCTAATAAAAGTGCAGGTAGTTATATGACTGATTCAGTGTCCTGAACTGAAAAAAATAAAACAACTGCAGAACAGCTGCCACTGAATTTGGTGGGATTTCAACCAAGAAATACTACTGACATTCATAAAACCCACAAGA